TACACACTCCTTTTTGACAGTGCTTTCTTTCTCAGGCCTGCAACTCCAGACCCCAGCACAAAGTCAGCACTCACTATCACTATGAACCAAGCTGTTTCTTTGCAATGGGATCCTGGCAAATGTTTCAAAGTGCCTAAAGCCATTCCAGAATTCTGACTGTTGGCTTGGGGGAGAGAAAGAAAGGCCTTGAATAAAAGTGGGATTCAATTACAGCAGATGTAACTCATCAAACTTGCAGAAGAACCTACAGAAATGGTAGGACTATAGAACAGAAATTTGTACACAAATTATGTCATTTATAATGGCAAAACAACCTTAGAAATTGGAAATAACTGATGTGAAACTTAGAGATTCATTCAATGGATCCTTTTAGAGACAGTAATTTAAAGAAAACTGTTGGTGCTGCAACATGACTGGCATCAGAAAACAATGAAAATCACTTCAGAGACATCTAAAAACATTTAGATGTCTTCAGAAAAGATATTAGAAAAGGCTTGAGAAGACTACATTACAGCAGTGTTTATTATATCTGAGCAATTTACTACTGCTAATATCATTAAACAGATTATTTCCTAAGCCTTGGCCTTGTTTGCCATAATACAGCTGTAAGGCTGGTGGCCTGGAACTAAACATGTCACACTTGGATAAGCAATCAAAGAGTTAATAAGAGTTTAAAAGAAGTACATGGGTCCCCTACTCTTAATTTACATCCTATAAAAGGTAAGAAGATCTTAGAATTCCTCTGGAAATTAGACTAGAAACAATTTTGGTACAAAATGGTAGAACAGCTCGTGCTGCTGGCTGCTGGTTGTGAACCATGACGGTGACACACCAACTGCTCTGTGGACAGAAGGTGGGAGACACTTTATTATCTAGATTTCTCCTTCCTGTTAGCAAGTGTTAAACCTCACAAACAGGATCTGCCTAGCTGGAGCAGTCCTTCATCCATCATGCACCACACTCTCCTCTTTTGTGTCTCTCTCCCTCCACCATTTCCTGCTCTGCCCTCAAGGATTTCCTCCATTTATCTGAATCTTTACATTCCTCTGTCTCAAGCAGAGAACAGCCATTTAAGATGGAGTTTGCGCCTCTTGGGAAGTCCTAGGAAAGGAGGTTCCAAGGGCACCTGTGTGTTTGCAGAGTGTAAAACTTCACAAAGACTCTCAAGGCCGGAGTCTTCTTAAAGTTACTACTTCATGATATAGCTCAGATATATATAAAAAAGAGGCTGGGATGAGTAAGCATTGAAGAGTCCACATTATTTCTCACTAGTTCTTTTATTACTTTGTGTTATGGATGGAGAATGCTTTTAAAAAGCTCCCTAGGATTTTCAGTTTCTTAAAAATACACAATCATAATACACTCTCTCTGCCTTAAAAAAAAATTCCTAAGTCTCGTGTTCTAGGCATATTAAGGAGTAAGTATAAACTCACAAAATTCCACAAGACTTAGATCACTGATATTAAATATGCTATGAAACAGCTTTTCAGAAATGTTTTCCCAGAGAACTCAAGTTATTGAAATTTGTAATAAAAACAGACATGTGGCTATCATAAAAAGCAGTCCAGGAATACACAGAGAACTATATACACACACTGGCGTAATGTCAAAATTAAGTGCTCAGACAACTGGGTGGCAGAGTCACATTCATTCTTTTGACAACCTCTTAGGAATCACTTACTGTGCGCTGCCTAATTCTAGGTGTTAAGATACAACAAAACGGTGTGCGGGGGAGGGGGAATCCCTGTCTGTGGAGTATTTATATTATTGGATCAAAACAGACATGTAAAAAACATAAGTAAAACACTGTGCTAGACAGCTCTAAGTACAACCATGGTCAGGTATGTCTAAAAGGAAGGAAGTGAGACATGGACTGCCTGGGAAAAGACACTGAACAGAGGAAGTAGCAAGAACAAAGACTCCGAAGTGGGAAGATGCAGGCCAGTGTGGTTAGAGCAGAATGGAAGAGGGAAAGCGGTGGATGAGGTTAGAGGTCAGGGTGAGGGGCTGGGGCTTATAGAACTGAGTAATGTTTTTCTAGACAGCAAAGTGGCAACAGGTGGAGGACGGGGGAGGGAGGTGGTCCCAGGTAATTAGAACAAAACCAAACAGAAGACACCCCAAGTCTACAGGCTGTGTGGGACTCAGAGGCTGGCTTGGCATGCAAGGAGTGCACATATAATGTGAGCACGATGGTGAAAGGTGGGAGGCTGAGGTGGGGGTGGGAAGTATTTAGCCTCAGACTTGTCTGTGGTAGTAGACAAGGGCAGCAGGGCCAGGAAGCAGCTGGGTAAGAATCAGGCGGTCAGCTGTCCTCTAACTTAGAGTGCTTTCCCCAGTCAGAGGGCTACTCTGGTTGTTACTCTGAAAGAAAACATGGTCTTGGCGAGATCCTTGTAGGTAAATAGACCCTTAAATTTTCTGTAGTAGGGAAAAGGGGGGAAGGGGAGTTGAGGGTGGAGCAAGAGCTAGAAATTTAGAGTATAGTATAATTACCATGACCTGGTCTAACTTACAGGGAATCTAAGACAAAGATGATTGAAAATACAACTGAGAAAGCAAACAGGAGTTTGTTTCTTAAAGAGCAAGCATTTCCTAAATACAACGAAGGCACAGATAAACAAGTATGTGCTAACTACCCCTAATTTTACATAAGGAAGGAATTCCATTATAATTGTGCACTTTGCATCAAAGGTATTCAAGCCAGAGTCAGGACCTTGCTCCCAGCTGCACGGCCCTATATCTAGAACAGTCTGGAGTTAAGACTCAAGGGCCTTTTTTTTTTAGGGAGTAAAAAGCCTATCCAGAGTCCTCACCCCAGAATCAAACAGTGCTAGCGGTATCCTGATACCACGGAGGTACTACTGCTAGAAAATTACTGAAAAGCAAGTAGAGAAAAGAGGTGCTTTCCTTGCATAGTACCTCCTGTGTAAATCAACATACCTCAGTGGAGTCAAGATATTACTCATGAAACAAGGTCATTAGGGCTATATGCAAATTACTATATGGAATATATAGATCAAAACATCAAGTTGTTGCGAAAAGAAAAGAAACTTGTTCTTGGTACCCATAGAGAACTGCATTAATTCTGCCCTTCTGGAACAAAGAACAAAAGCCATAAGGGAATCTCTGACAGTCTCGTGCTTCTGAGCCCTTCTAAAACTTAGCCGACTTAAGAAACTGGTTTGTTATGGCATGCTTTGTTTCTTTGTTTTTGTAATGTCAAATTACAAATTTATTGTTATTTATTTTAATATAAGAGACCAGTAAAATGACAACAGCAATTATCCACTCCTAATTATGGAATGCTATAAATCCCAAAGAGAGGAATTATTGGAGTAGGAAAAGATTATTGGAGTAAGTTATATTCCTTATTATCAACCAGGTACAAACGCTTAAGCTTCTGCCAGGTGAAAAACAACTCTCTAAATTTGTTTACATTTAATTACATTTTACTTATTTACTGGGTTTGTGTGCGAGTGTATGGGTGCGGGCATGCGTGTAGAGGTCAGAGGACAATGTGTTGCCACAGGGAGAATCCGGGGGATTCTTTGGACCTGGGGTCCAAAGGCGTAGCAGCAAGTGCCTTTACCTCCTGAGTCATGTCACCGGTCCCCTAAAAACATCTTTCTACAGGCCGTTGTGTTTATTCTTTTACTCCAGAACCAGACTGCTTACAGTTCACAGTTTAGAGCCCGGTCCCATAGAGTTTTTTAAAGTCAAGTTCATCCATAACAATTATTTAGAATGCAAATGTCTGTATTTGCAGTATTCTTTCCCGTCTACCGCCTGCCCCTGGAACATTTTTTTTCCACGCTAACACCAGAACATCCTTCAGAGAAACTTCAATACCATAAATACGCCTTAAAAACCACAAAAAAAGCTCAGCCGTGGTTAGGAAGGTGCGGTTAGTTCTGTTGGTCGGCAGCCTTGGAACCGGTGGGGAACCCCGGGTGCTCGGAACGGTGCCGCGGGGTCCCGGCCGCTTCCTGGCCGGACGCTGTGGTCCGGCGCATCCCGAGGGCGCCCCACGCTCGCAGGCCGGGCCCGGGCCTCACCTTGTACACGTCCCCGTAGGTGCCGCTGCCGACCCTCTGCACCAGCTCGTAGTCGTGCTGCGGGTTCCGCCTCAGGATGTCGGCGGCAGGCCTCAGCGGGGCCTCCATCTTCGCTGCAGCCAGCCCGGGGCTTCGCCCGCGGCGCCCGGATCCCGCTAACGAGGGCGCGCGACGGCGCTTCCCAACATGGAGCCTCGGCCCGCAGCTGCGCCTGCACCGGCGTGAGCGAGCGCGGGGGCGTCACGGGCCGCGGCCCCGGCAGCCTCCTGGCCTCCTCGGCCCCTCCAGGCCCCGCGCCGCTCGCACCCGAGGGGCCGCCCGTTCCCGGCCGAGCGCTGCGAGACCCGCGCCCTCTCGGAGACGGCCGTGCGCACAGCCGCCGCACCACGTTCCCCCACCCGTGGCTGCGTCACCGGGAGACACGTTCGCGGCCGGCGTGGATCGAGCCCGGCCCGCCCGAGAGCGCAGGCCCAGAGTGCCGCCCTGAGGCCCGCCGGGCGAACGACACCCTCCTCGCCGCCGCCG